CGCCATCGTTGTTCTTATGAGACCCATATTTCGCGCATGCGTGGCGCGACGACCACCGCCCTTCAAGTTCAAAGTGAGTTGGGCCTATTTTTTTTTTTAGTGCCTTCTTTACGCTAATGACGCCATTGAAAATATAGCGGTAGTAAATTAAACAAACAATTTTGCTCAACGGGCAAGATAAGAAAACCTTGCCGAAAATGATGAGCAAAATGTTCCCTTTGAAACCGAAAAGAGTACACATAAATGGGATAAATACATGACTATATTTAATAATACCCTCACGACAAGGAAGCCATAAATTTAAGCGACTAGCGAAAATTCGATAAAATTTGGACGTTATTTGGATGGGGTCGGTCCCCGTGTATTAAGTTGAGAATTTCTTTTCCAGTGTACCAGGCGTCAATAAATAATATTAGCCTTATAACTATGATAAGACCAATGACGTAAGTATTACCCAGAATGCAATGCTACTAACCCGGATGTTTTACGGGGCAAGGTGAACAAGCTCTAATATACATGGTATCGAAGGAGTACTATAATTGATATATATCTAATATCTATTCTTTATATATATATTCGACACTAGGACAAATCATTGTATGCGATCACTAGACACGATAATCTAGAGTCAAAATAAATTGTAATCGAGATACATGCTGCGTCATGTTATGAATAAATGATAAGATTTGCGCACATATATACATTATATTTGTTATTTGTCTCGAAAACAAATTCTGAATCTGTAAATTCCAATATCAATATTAAGTTTGTATTACGCCATTCTAAACACTCGTATAATTAGATGTAATAAGACGTACGTGTTCATTATGTTGACATATATTTCCGACACATATCTTGTAATAAGGTCATGACGTTCCATAAAGGGTAATTGTTACCCAGGGTAACGCGCGGAAGTATTTATTTATGGTTGCAACTAATTGCTGTTTTACAACGAACTAACAATTTGAAAACCTGAGAATCCGAGTACACCTGGTCGAATTTAAATGAAATTGGAACACTAGAATAGTTTGGCTACCTGTCGTAAAGAAAACGCTGCGGGGGTTATCGCTGATTTATGAAGGCATTGGTTCAGATATACGAGACGCTGTCGCTCTCTTGTCTCTGTAGCCTCGTAATCTCAGCGTTATCGTCGATTAACATCACAAAATACGGAAAGATTACGCATTATCTTAGTTTATAATCCTTGTTCCAAGAACACATATCAGCTTCAGTTGATGACTAAAATGTTCGCTATATCAGACAAAATGTTCGTCATATCAGACAAAATGTTCGTTATATCAGACATAATGTTCGTTATATCAGACAAAATGTTCGTTATATCAGACAAAATGTTCGTTATATCAGGCAAAATGTTCGTTATATCAGACAAAATGTTCGTTATATCAGACGAAATGTTCGTTTTATCAGACAAAATGTTCGTTATATCAGACAAAATGTTCGTTATATCAGGCAAAACGGTAGTTCTGTTTCTCGAGACGACGTTGAAGATTGTTAAAGTGGCGTGGTTTTCAGTCTACATGTTTTAAAAAACACACACATTAATTAAATCTCCACCACTGCTAATTTTATATGAAATGAATATGACATGAATATGAACAATATTATTTGAAATAGATAATTACCGAATGTGTGATTGATTATTTTGGGCAAATTTAACGGTATAACTTTATTAACCATGTCCATATACATGTACACTATGGACGTTGAGTGAGCTGGGTGCTCTGTCAAAACATTAATGGATTATCGCACAGTGCATATTAACGGCACAATTAAATAAACGCTGTTATTGTATTCTAGCCTTTGGCATTCACATAATCTACTAGAATATTTTTTCTTGATTCTCTGGAGTTTTAGTGGCATGTGATTGGCTGAATCATCAATATGGCCAAGGCAAATAGACTTTCTCTCACAACGGACAAGGTGTGAACAAATTGTGCATTATACCAAAATGCATTGCGATTCTCAGAATACTGTCAAAACGAACAGAAACTGGTAAATAATTGAGAAGACCTTTTAGATATTTGAGCTGTACCCGAGGCCAGATTGAACATGCTGTCTTGACAAACGCTACACCGTTCTTACCATAATAATGTTATATGCTACATTCACCTCCTAAAACCATGGGCACGATAATTCCACCACAGGAGGGTGGCATAAAACAGTGTGCAATAAGCTCTAAATAACTATACTTTAACACCAGCATAGCAACTTTCTAGTCAATTTAATTCCCTGAGCACACGACACTGGCGATATATATATATCTGTCATCATTAATGCCACCAGCGATGTAATGACCCATGTATTTCAGCTCATGGCATTCGGTCAACACTTACCCATTAAATGGTGAGAATGAGGTGAAAAGAAAGATATTTTTAGTCGTACCCCATTATTAACATTAAATGGCTCATCTATGACTGTACCCCATCTCAGAAACATCGTCTGGTGTACTATCAGAGGGGAATTCTTCTCCTCTGGGTTCTCCACACGTGTCAGGGGGAAATCTCGTCTCGTCTCTCTATCGCGTCCCCTTGAGGTACGGGATCGGGAAAGTCACTTAAACTTTACAGTCAAATAAGACACACACAACGAAATACGTTTCAACTCTCGTCTTAGTCAGTCAATCGAGTACTCTATATGACCAGGGAGGTTCTCATTACAGCTCCCTGATATGACACAGCGTCCTGGGGAAAAGTCCCCAAGACTATCGCAAGGCTGACCCAAGACTCTGTCCCTAGACTCTCCAAGACTGCGTCTCAAGACTCTGTCTCTTCTCGTGTACTCGCCAAGACCAACTAAAACAACTTTATTCACTTTCAAAACTTTAACCAATTACAAAGCAGTTTAAAGATTCTAGGGCGTAACTTTCAATAATAAAGCCAATCACACTAAGTACTGAACACGTCATATCTTTTGATTAATCGTTCACTATATTACTAACTGCGAATACCAACTGTCAGAAATAGTAGTCCGGATAGCGACGGTTATATCGTAATTAGTTCCAAATCACTGAACCAAGTTCCGTCCAGAACCTCACATGAGCCCAAACGATGACAGATATCACACAGCCATTCGCTAGTAATCAGCTAATTAAGTCGATTAACAGATATGTGCAAATAATTTCATCATAGTACATACAAGTATTGCCAGCATTGGATACACTCGAGTGATCTTAAATCGTGAAGTCCCAGCCATACTCGTTACCAAGCGTTACGTAACATTCAAATGTCTTGATGTTTTATTACTTCGGTATTGATTGTTAGTTCTCCATTAATGGACGCTCAATACATCCACTATACCCATAGTACGCCAATTACATTTACATATCGGCGGATCTGCTTGGCCGAATAAAATATGTCACATAACAGTCCCAGTGCTTTCGGAGTGCTTCTTTAATAAACCCGGATGTTGAAGCAATTCAAATATGACTTGAATTTATAACATGCAACTCTCAATGCCTCCGTGTTGATGATTTAAATAGTAGATCAATAAGTCACGTGACTTATTGATATCTTGCTTCCCTTTACATCAAATGTCCAGTCGCAATGTTTTCTACTTTACCGGAGATATAACACATTTTAGTTTCCGTTTCTATCAGTGACTTCAGTCAAGTTTATGTACAAGAATGCTAATAACAAAACTAATTTGTTTTATTTATTTATTTATCATTTTTGGCGACATACTATCATAGCAAAATAAATAAATATACATTATAAGCGTACTGCCTTTTACAGCAAACACATTAATTGTTCGATACACAATATTACACATACATCGCGAGAAAATCGAAAGCTCCACATGTTATTAGAATGAGACTCGTGTGTTGTCATTTTTCCTGTACACTAAAACAAGGAAGAGATGCAAAAATCGTGTTTTTTTCGGTATTTGTCCACTCAAATTACAAACCACAAACAAAAAATAAGTTATGTTGATCATATTGATAATATGATGTGCGCATTGGAACATATTTGTATTTTATAAGCGCGCGTAACTAAAAATTTACCTTGTATGGCCTATTATATTGTGGATGCAGTAGGCGTCTATTGAGTCATTTTAAGAACCTGGAGATTCATATGTACACATTGTGAGGTTCACTTCAGTAAATCAACAAGAGTAAGGAGTTGCATCTCAGGGAAATGATCGTATAGAAGCAGGACAGGTAAGGGTGAAAATCGAGCAAACGTGTGATTTGATAATGTCGAATTTGACTGTTGTTTCCTTTCATTTGATCAAGGTCACCAAACAGTCATTCTCAGGAAAATGATTTTCGTGTCTTTTTTATTTTTTTTATTTTATATATATATATATTGACACCACAATATTTAATTATCTGTAGAAAATATTAATCAAGCACAGTATGTACTGATTTAATGAACGCGTTGTGACGATAT